CATCGTGCTTCCTGACGAAGTGCAAGCATATCACTGGAAAAAAAAAACAAGTTTCGATATTTACATGTGTAGTGACGACAAGAAAATCTACAAACAGCTTTGCCATCATCAGTGAGGACCTGTGTCACGACGCCGCTCACGCTTGCTTGGCTCTAGAAAAAGTGAAGGAGTGGGTTGAAGACAACGTTGCGGTATACTCGTACGTGACGTACGTAAGTGACGGCGCCGCCAGTCATTTCAAGAATCGCTACCAGCTTCACCAATTTGCAAAGGACGATTGCCCACAAGCCCAGTGGTTATTTTCTGCATCTGGACATGGGAAAAATGCATGTGACGGAGTTGGCGGACTCGTGAAGCACCAGGCCACGCTGAACAACCTGAGAGAACGTTCAGTAAGCGCAATTCAGACGGCCAGGACAATGGTAAGCGTCCTATTAAAGAAACTGAAAGGCGTGCATCTTGTATATCTGGACGAAAATGAGGTTGTTCGGTATCGTGAACAAAAAAAAAAGAAGAGTGGCTGACGGTGCTCGCCTTCCCTGGCATTCAGTCTTGGCACGCGTGGCGGCTCAGCAAGTCATCAACAGAAGGGACCTGTGACGTATATGTAGCACGGACAGTCGGATCTGCTTGGAAGCAACTTTATTAAATGGGTACAGCGAGGAAAACCTTAGCGTAAAGTGCCGAATTTGATTTCCCAAGGACTGCTCATTTTGAATGCAGGGACATCTTATTTATCACATTTTTCTTCACGGGGTATTTAACCTACTGTTTTTGTTGGTGGTTACTAATAATTTTTATCTGATCACTATAAAAAAAATCCCAAAATGTTATCCTCGAGCAGGATAAAATATATCGGCTTGCCACGATTCATTCATACACCGAGAGCATCGAAGCTGCTCCAGTTAGGCACTATGGCATCCGTCACCTGAAATTGTTTGGAATCGTAAATACACAGCCAACCTAAATATCTTACTATTATATCTTTGTTTTTGTGTGTGGAAGTAAAGTTATTTATTTTACTCTAGATGTAAAATATACCGGAAGGTACAACTTCACACTGCATCATCTTTTCTCAAATCATTAGTCTCTAATATGATACCACTTTGTACGCTTATGTAAAATGCTGTATATAGTTTCTCCTCCCTTTTACTGTGTGACCGATCGCTCTTTTTATCAATGACCTCATCTGAATAAATGTATATAAAAGATTTGTGCAAGTTTCATGAAACTGGAACTCAGAGTCACTTCTTGTATAGGACACTGCTAAGTGTAGGCTTTGAAAAAGGACCCTACTTTGGGGAGTTGTTTCTTCTTTCACAGTGCAATGATGCAACATGTTTTTAATAGAAATGAATGCCGAAATAGAGTATAACAGGGTACCCAAATTTTAAAAAAATCGAAGGTGGTGTGTTTTTTTTTATTCGCATTGGAATTTTTCTTTGTTTGATTTTTTTCCCATGTTTGCCTAAATATATTGTAACTATTGTGTCACTCAGATACCTTATTTATTTTTTCAATAATAGCCATATATTAGTAAAATAATGTCTGCAAGTTATGTAATAATGATTAAATTATTTCATGAGATACAGAGTTCCAAAGTTTGCCATTTGTCGTTCGAGCAGGCATGTTTGGCAATTTTTAGAAAACTAAATAAATTTTTAATAAATATTATTACTTTATATTACAAGCAAGTTGTACCCATAGTTTGTACAAAGTTTTAAAATTCTCCTAATTTTATTGTTTTAATTATTCACTTTCAAACTTGCCCCCTCCATCAGTGCGCGTTATTGCAACTGTCCACCTCTCCCTGCCTTACGATTTTTCTTGTCTCCAAATGTTTTTTCTGGTCAAAACTAAGTGTGGATTCGTTTATACCAGACACTGGACAATGTCATATAAAAACATCAGTTGATTTAAAAATGTCGACCAGCCACCCTTTGGTCGATCTTATCTGAAATCACCCTATAATATTTATAATTGGATATAAATAAGGGCTAGGATGAGGTAGACTTCTCTCATTGACACACGCACGAGAAAACTTACCCTAAAATTCAAACGTTTCTTCTCAACCTGAAAAAAAAAAAAAAAAAAAAAAAAAACATTAACGGGCTTGGAGGCGTGGCTTCGCGGACCTCTGAATATCTTCGCGGACCCCCATTTGAGAACCACTGGCCTAGAGCAGAGGTTCTCAAACTGGGTTCCGGGGAACACAGGGGTTGCACGAGCTGGTCTGATTGTTCCGCAAACACCCAAATTGCAACCCCCCTCCCCCCCCCCCCCCCCCCCCCCCCACACATGCCGCAGGCTGCACGGCAGAACCATGCAAAGCATCTTCATCTCACTTTGTACTGACATTGCGATTGATATGGTGGGGATATATGGGAAGCAACACAAGCAAAATTGTCTACAATCGTGCATCTGTTGCTTCTCGGTCGGCAAATATGGAGGGGAGGGTTTTGCGACAGTTTTTGAGGCTTCCTGGGGTCCCGTGAGGCCAAAAAGTTTGAGAAACCCTGGCCTAGAGGATAAAGAAGTGTGTGTGTGTGTGTGTGTCTGTCTGTCTGTCTGTCTCTGTGTGTGTGTGTGTGTGTGTGTGTGTGTGTGTGTGTGTGTGTGTGTGTGTGTGTGTGTGTGTGTGTGTGTGTGTGTGTGTGTGTGTGTGTGTGTGTGTGTGTGTGTGTGTGTGTGTGTGTGTTTCTAGAAACAGCAAGTCGCCCGTTGTATTTTTTTTAAATTTTAATCGTCTTTCGATGGGCCTTCGCTGTCTTTCTAGTGAGCTCAGTCGCAGTCGTTCGAGCATTGCTGTGCTGTTGTTTTACGCGTGGTGTTTGTAGTTTCTGCTTCAATCTTCTGAAGTCTTTTTTTTTTCCGTGAGAACGCCGACACGAAAACACACGCGGGGAGGAGGAACGCGTTTCGCATTGTTTCCAGGCGCCGTTATTATCCATTATGCGGTTTGCACTTCACACGAGGGCTTCGGATGACGTCAACCCCTTTCGAAACAGCTGCAAACCTAATCTTTACCGGAAGGCGTGGGAGGGTGTTCCTATTGTTCACACGCGCCTTATCATCCATCATGTGGTTTTGATGCTTTTTTGTGGTTTTCTTTATTGAAACGGATACTGAGCTGTATGTGTTACGTCTTAGCTGCCATCCGCCGTTCGGCCAGGCGCGACGCCAGTATGACACGCTCCGGTGGTAGCCAGTATGGGAAAACGCCCCCTTTATTGCTTCGAACGCAGATATAGAGAACGCCACGACTGGTGACGTCATCAGGGAAACTGCTATCGGCTTGATAACAGCGAATAGACAGGATGTAAACAATGACAATGCAACATTTCTTCTTCTCTTAATATTGCAAACGATGGATCGGTTTCCGTGTCCGCGTTGAGCGTCGTAAGGCTGGTTGGTCTCGACCGTCGGGGGCTGGCACGTCTTGCTCGCTCGGTGGCCCCTGGCTGTCCGGCTGTCCTAGTGTCACTGGCGGCCCGACGTTGTCCGAACCGTCTTTAGGGCCACCCAGACTTTCAGTCGGACCTTGTCTGCCGCGGACCTGGTCCATGTGTCGACGGACTGTTCCCTCCGGAGTCTCGATGACCAGCATCCTTGACCCGAGCTTGTTCTGGACGGTCCCCGGTGACCATCTTTCACCTTGGCCGAAGTTGCGGACCCACACCGGTGCTCCAAGGTCCCAGGAGTCTCCTTGAACCTGCACATCGTCGGACAATAACGCAGGCCGGAACGGTACACTCATGTCCAGGCGCGAACGAATGCGGTACCCGAGAAGTATTTCCCCTGGGGACTTGCCACACGCTAAAGGCGTCCGACGATAATTTATCAGAAGCTGCGCCAGCCTTTTTCCCAGATCTCCCCCAGTTCACTTAGCGAGGCCGAACTTGATCGTCCTGACTGCCCGTTCAGCCAACCCGTTAGACTGAGGATGATTGGGCGCACAGCGGAGGTGACACACATTGTTTCTTTTCACAAAGTCTTTAAAATGCTGACTAATGAACTGAGGTCCATTATCAGAAACGATTTTTCTGGGCAGACCGAACCTGCTGAACAGTTCTCGGAGTTTATTCACCGTCGCCTCTGCCGTAGTTGATCGCATGATGCAAGCTTCAATCCATTTGGAATGGGAATCGACGACTATTAGCAACATCCTTCCCTCAACTGGTCCTGCAAAATCGATGTGCACTCTCGACCATCTTTCTTTTGTTTCTGGCCAATTCACCGGTGAGCACGCGGACGGCATTGGGGCGGCTTGTACGCACTCGTTACAATTTCCGCTCAGTTCCACCTCCCGGTCCAGTCCCGGCCACCAAAACAACGACCGCGCATTTCTCTTCATGGCTGATACCCCCTGGTGAGATTCGTGCAGCAGCTTCAGGATGTCCGGGCGGGTCCGTGTCGGAATCACGAGGCGCCGGCCCCAGGTAGCGGATACTGCTCTGTGTTGCACGCCATGTTCGCTGTCAACTTAAAATCGCCGCACAGGCGTATCGAGCCGTTCTTTTTCTGCACCGGTACAATCGGTGCTGCCCACTCCGAATGGCTTACAGGTGAGAGAACTCCGGCCTCTACCAACCGATCCAGCTCCTCTGACACTTTGTCGCGAAGAGCGTGTGGAACAGGTCGTGCCTTCATAAACTTCGGCACCGCTCCCTCCCTCCCTCAAATGAAAACGTACCGGTGGCCCCTTGATGGTTCCCAGGCCTGGCTCCAACAGGTCCTGAAACTGCAACAGCAGGTCTTCCAGCTCTCTCGTTGAGCCTGCAACTACGCTTGACACCAAAGGGTCCAGTAAGTTCAGTTTGCCGATTACGTCTCGACCACACAGGCTTGGTCCAGGGCAGTTCACCACCACGAGCGAAGCCGGCACCGTGACGTCATGGACGGTCGCCCTCATGTGTAGCTTCCCGAGGATGGGCAACTGTCCCAAGTAGCATTGGAGACTCAGCTTGGTTGCCGACAGCGCCGGCCAATGGTCCTTGTGCTCATTGTACACTTCTCGGGGAATAACACAAACAGGAGAGCCCGTGTCGACTTCCAAGGTCAGTCGTACTCCCCCCCCCAGGATATCTGCCTTCGGACCGGCTGTTCAAAACTTGCCCGTGTTCGAGGTTGTACCGTGTACACTGATGCCAAGTCCAGGTCCTCTCCCTCTGACGCCGTCGCAGTTGCAATCGTCGAGATTGGTCGTCCTGGAGTTGCAACGTCATGATGCGCCCCACATTTCTTCGCGAAATGGCCTTGTCTGCCGCTTTGAAACATCTGGCAAATCTGTGCCGACACGCGTCCCGTGCATGTGAACTGCTTCCGCGTCGCACGCATTCTTCTTTTCTTGTATTGTACCTCCTTCCCAGGTCTGGCTGTTTTCGGGACTTTCCGGCTATTCTGTGTAGATCCGCTTCATTTTTCACCTCCTGGCTTTCCATGTTCTTTACCTCCTTTGTGGCGACCTCTGCCGCGGTAGCCAAATCTTCTGCCTCCGCCAAAGTCAGGTCTCGCCTTGCCAGTAGTTGACGTTGGACTGTCTGGTTTCGCACTCCGCAAACAATGCGATCCCGCAGCATGCGGTCCAAGCTGTCTCCGAAATTGCAATTTTCCGCGATTTTCCTTAGTTCCACGATGAAGTCTTGCACCGACTCGCCTTCCCGCTGTTGCCGATTGACAAACTTGTAGCTTTCAGCTATTTCGTTAGACTTGGGCGCGTAGTGTCGACCCAGGATGCCGACAACTTCCTTGTACGTCAGTTCGTTGACTCTTTGAGGCGCGCATATTCCGCACGGTATTCCAATCGGCCTGGAGCCGAGCGCGGCTACCAACAGTGCGCGCTTCCTCTTATCTTCGGTTATAGCATTTCCTTCAAAGTAGGCTTCAACTCGAACAACATAAGTTTCCCACTTATCTTCTGCGTCGTGGAAGAAGGGAACTTGAAACGCCGTGGCCGCAGTTGGCATTCTTGGGCTGTCCTTGCTTGTCGTGCCCGTTGAGCGAGTTCAGCTCGTCGCCACTGTTACGTCTTAGCTGCCATCCGCCGTTCGGCCAGGCGCGACGCGAGTATGACACGCTCCGGTGGTAGCCAGTATTGCTTCGAACACAGATATATAGAGAACGCCAGGACTGGTGACGTCAACAGGGAAACTGCTATCGGATTGATAACAGCGAATCGACAGGATGTAAACAATGACAATGCAACAGTATGCTGTATGCCTGATTTCAAAGGAGATATGCTGTTTTGCCTTCAATTGTTCGCCGGGAGTTTTTTGCTTACAACGCCAACCACTCGAAACTTTCATTGGCTGGTAGAGGTATACAGCTTCGCTGTAAAACCGTCAAACGCCGACAAAATATAGCGGGTTAGATTCTGCAAAGTTTAAGAGTTACGGAAGGCATTACAGAAATGCTAAATTTGACGAGCGATGTATTGCCCACCAAACTTAGCTCACGATGGTCACGCGACATTATCAGCAAGATGTGACCACGTGACTCCATCAGCATAACGTCGTCACGTGACACCAACCATGTGACCACGTCACGCAATATGACACAACACACGTGACGTGACACCATGGCGCACTAAAAATCACGATGCAATGGCGTCACTCTTCCCTGTGTCAGGTGACGTGGCGTCAAATGGGACACCACGACGTGTCCACGGGGAATGCGCCGAGCAGCAGCAGCCCTCGTATACAAACAAAAAGAGAACACTCCTCGTGCACAGCGAGTCAGCGACCACCCCGCGGTGGGCTATGCGACCCACCTGGCACCGAGACGCGCAAGTTCCCCAACGGACTCGAGGCGACAGCCCCGTAACATCGACGGTGGTCGAACCCGCAGATAGGTTCCCCCCGCCGGGTGCTCCGATCACAGATGGCCTGATAGTAGCTCCCAACCCGAATCTCTGTTAGCGACAGGACGACGTGCTGTTAGTAGGTTGATTTAATCAGAAGTCTTGGGTAACGTGCGTACAAGCAAAACGAGTCCGTCTCTCCTCGTCTCCCCGGTTCTTTTCTTTCAAACGTATTTTATTTTGATCCACACGCCTGGCTTGGGGGCCTCACTTGGTGTGGGGGTGGGAAAACAACCCCTCGGGAATTATCGCTGTCCTCCTTTCTTTCGGTGTTGTCCCCTTCCCATTCGTCCCTCGCGCGCGCAGGTCAGCAGGTCCGTCCACCACACTCTCTCCTGGTCATCCCGTTCGCAGCTGCACGTTGCACACGGCACCGAGGCGCACCAACCCCGAGGCGCTGCAGCATCCCCAGGCGTCGTGTTGCCGCAGAGGTCGCATTCCTCGTTCCAGAACACTCGGCTTGCCGGAGTCACCACGCACACGCAACACAAACCCACATCGGCAAAAGGGGGGTTCTCGTTTCGGCGTAGTTGCCCACGCCTTCCGGTCTCTGGTGTCCCGCCTGGAGAAGAGTCGGCCGCGTCTGTTTTCTTTGCCGATGACAGGCACGGCACTTGAAAAAGCAACAAATCACGTTCCGCCGGGGTCCTCCCGAGAGTGTTCGGGGGTACCCAGGCCATGGGGAGAACTATCGCCTCCCCCACCCCACGGCGGCGTCGCGAGACGGTCCATTTTAACTTTCGCCCTGCCGGTGTCCAAGAACGCCTGACACCCGCTATGAGAAACGAACTCGCTAGAAGGAAACGTGTCACATCCTTACGCTTAGCAATTGGAACATCTCTGCCTTAGTCTGCACTGCGCTCTCCAAACGCGTTCTAATGCGAGAGCCAAACGCCGGACGCATAATAAGCAAATCGGCCAAATCCGAACGCGAAAGAAAAATGTAATAAAGCGTTTTTCACGAAATAAAAGCTGAAGGCTCTCTTGTGCTGCTATGGCAGGGTTTGCATCAACGAGAGGTTGTTAATTAAACTGTTAAACGTACAGATCTTTCTTCCGCGTTATTTTCACCAATCGGATGGATTGATCGATTAATCTGTTATGTTTAAAATACGTGTACATATAATAAATCACTATTTTTTTAGGGGGATTTAAATCGTGTTCATCCGATTTAAATAAAATAAATCTGATTCAAATCGAAAAGGTCCGATTAAATAAATCTAAGTTAAATCAACGAAGTCTTATTTAAATAATATACATCCCGTTCAAATCGATTGACCTTTATTCAAACTCTATTAAAAAACAAAAAAAAACATGATTTGTTCGACTCTGGTGCGTACATCACTCAATTACTCGTATTCTGCGCGCTTCCATGTTCGTCGAAGTTGGGCTCTGGAACGCGTTCCAACTTCTGCGCGTGCGCAGTTATACTTTCTGATATACATAATTATAATTAAGTACGTCTTTTTTTTGCCTTTTTTGTGGTTCGGGGGGGGGGGGGCGGGGGGGGGGGGGGGGGGGGGGCGGGGTCAGTCATTTTCTTTGTGCTTTGTGATCAACTAGGGGGTGAACCTAAAAGGATTCAGTCACACAAGCCCTTGTCGGCTTTGACGAACCACAGACTGCTTCGTCACGAGTATAGTCCTCGAAAATAAATGTGTATTGTATCGTATTATTACTATTATCATCACGCGAGATTAACCTTACGGAAGGGGCATAAAATACGTTTTTAACAACAGCACATCAACACGCGCGTGTCTCTGGCTACCTGACGCTCACACACCGTGCCGCCAATGTTCGTCTCACGTTTCTTCAACTTTTTGAACCCTGTACGGAGCAAAGCGCCCGGATCGAATATAACCATATGATGCGAAGACGGCTTGCGCCCGCTTCGCCGCGTACGATTGCACGGCCGAGAGTAGCGTGTCCGTGACCGTGAGCCCAGACGGATCGACGAAGTCCGAGGTCATCGGCTTGAGACAAGAGAGACCAGTCGTGGATGTCTTGAATGGCGCCACACGACAACAGCCTTGGATGATGCCGACAGACGCAGCTTATACGATATGATCAGCAGACATGCTGGAGGTTCAGGGAACGTTGTTTGCCACTATCTCTTGCCGACTCCCTTCGCTCCCTTCTTCCTTCCGTTGCAGTAGCGGAGAGCGTTTGTTTGCTAACCGTTGCTCTTCTGTTCCCGGCCACAACATAAAGGGAGGAGAATGTTGTCTGACTCAACTTCTGCGAGGAAGAAATGCACTTCACCGGCCGCTCTGCTCGGCCGGGGGGGCTTCTTCGTGCGGCTTGCGTGGCGCGGCGGCGCGATTTTGCGGCGCGACACTGGGGCAACCACCCTTCTCCTATCCTTTCACTCCCCCTCCCCTACCCCAAAACAAAGGTGACATATTGAGCTTCCGGCTCAGCAATACTTCCTTTGATTTCCTTCTCTCAAGACTCTGACTGACTGACTATTCGAAAAGAGAGGATGAAGGTCTGGCAGTGTTGAACCCCTCAATGGCAAGACCAAGTCGAGGGGGCACGGAGATGGTAGGTGATCTTTGGACAGCGAGGACGTGCTACGGCGAGCAGCGGCAATCGACAATGTCGTGGTATCCCTATGAACCCCTCAACGAGGAAATCAACAGGCTTTTGCTGTCGGACCTGCCGAAATCTGTGAAAGGTACTTGATTTCCTTTTTTTCTTTCCTTTTCGACCCTTCCTCCTGTCCTTCTTTCCCCCCATTGTGGCTTTTGCACGAGAGAAAGTGACGACATGATGATTGCCAACTGGTTTCCGTGTCTACATCCTACCTTTCTGATGTTGGTAACAGGGACGTCGGGGCAGCTTTCAGCTGCGGTCGCACTGCTGATATATTGTCGCGCGCATGTGTAGTCTAGCTTTACTTTATATGCTGTGGGAACCCTCTCCCTGGCTCCTCCGCTCTCCGTGACCTTGCCGGTCCCCGCCGCCTTTCTGTCGGGCGCTCCTTCGTTCCCCGTGACCTTCCCGTTTACCGTCGCCGTCCTGTCGCGGAACGTCCGAGCTCTCCGGGAGGAACGGGGCAAGCGCCCCCTCACCCAGCGCTGACGTCGGAGGGTCGGCTGGCAGCACGGTTCCCGATTGGACGGTCGGCGGGACAAGGACTTGGGAAGGTCTTAAAAGGGGAACGGAGACAAAGGAAGAGAGCTTGGGCGGCCGACTAGACAAGGGACCGGTCATGGAGGCGAGCTCGGACGGCGCTGGACGCTGGCGCAGGGAGTGCGGGCACTACGTCGAGTGGCGGACTCGACAAACGGACCGGACAGCGACCCTGGACGACGATGTCCCCATGACGCGGTGTGGACGACCACCGCTGGGACTCGGAGAAGCTGCTGTGGCAGCGGACTCTCCCCCGGCCTCGCTGATGACCGTCCCCCGATCCCGAAACCCCCCAAGGCAATGAGTGAGTGAATAAACCCTTTTGCCGAGAGCGAAGTATTGCAGTGTCATATTCATCCGGAGACAGGGTCTGTGGGAATCGGAGTTAGAAGATGCCCGCATAAACTGGCGCCGCAACGTGGGGCCTGATTTTAGATGAGGCTGGCATTCCGATTTATAATGTGTTTCCGGTTGAATTAGGGCACTGTTTCGCGCTCTTTTTGGGGGTCATCTTTGTCGCGGGAGCGCCGCACGAAGTTTCGTTGCGGGAGCGCCGCACGGAGGCCCTGACATGATCGTCTGCCTGACGAGGAGGCGCGGATTTTGACCGCTGTTTGAAGGGGTTAACCCTTTTCCCCAGCCTGTCAGGAATTTACTTATCCCCCGTTACGAGAAGCGCCATGAGTATTTGCTGTTCAGCGCACCGTTCGCTGCTAACAGGTTGATCCCGCTACGCAAAAGCGCTGTGTGCGTCGAAATTACCGCATTCCTCGAGGCATGTAGCGTCGGGCGTCATCCCACCTACGCCTCCGGCCGTCCATGTCTGCTGGAAAGATGCCGGCTCACGCTTCGGGGGATGTGACGCGCCTAACCGCCTTTGTTCGCGTATCGATGTAATGGTTTGTAACGCTTGTTACTGATCGGACGCGTTAAAGAGGCATCGCTCTGGGTGGACAACGCTCCCATTGCGGATGGCGGTTGCATGGACTGTGTTTGGAAATTATTCCCGCATTGCATTTTGTCCGGGAGGAGACTAGCGTCTCGGTTTGATGGCATGCTAGCTCCCAGTTGGCCTTGCTTGAGCTGTCGGCGCGGTTTTGAGCGTCGTTAGTTGACAGCGTTTTTAAGGTACGGATGCGCTCTTATGGTTCCGACCAAGATCGCTTTGAACGAGTACCTTGTGGCCAGAGGCTACATTTAGGGGCTGAGCCCGCTAAATCGTGCCGGGTACGCGATGTCCGGTGCGTGGACATCGGAATCCCGAAAACCACAGAGTTGCCGTTTTCACTTTAGCAGTGGCTGTGCGTGTGTAATGCTCCGTGGAGTCAAGTCTGACGCGATGGGCATGACCCGTGCGTTTCATGGTTATAGAGTCGTGAGGTTGATCCCGTTTAATTGTGCGCACAGTTGGTTCCGGATCCTCACACCGCCATATCGAAGGTTGAGCCTCGCGGCGGGAGTTACTCTTTAATTTCGTTTTCTCCGCCTCCGGAGGAGCGGTGGCAAGCGCGCGCTTTGCGCTGCCGCCGGATACAGTATACGGCTCTCGGCCGTGGTTGGGTTCGCGTTGGGACGCGAGGGCGTA